GAATTCATGAAGATGATCAATGGATTGGCTTGTGTGATAATTTCATGCATAAACGCCTTCGCCAATCCATTGATCACTTCATGAATTCGAAATTAAGACAGTTATTCCTTAAATCAAATAGTATTTTGTTCCAAAGTCCTATTCTCCATACAGAATCAAAAGCTTTTTCAAAATCAATAAAGGCACAATAAATTATTTTTTTTTATCTTTTTGAATATTTCGATGATTGTATGTAGAGTAAATATGTGATCAGTTGTACCATAATTTTTACGAAATCCAGCTTGTTTTTCTTGTATTATTTTGAATTCTTCTGAATATCTATTAAGTCTATTATTTAAAATGGATGTAAATAAATTTCCAATACAACTAATTAAAATTATTGGGCGATTTATTCTTATAGATAGGATTTTTTTCACCACACAACCAATCAGAGGGGAAACAACCACTGTCAAGAATTTTGTTGAATATTTTTTGATAGAGGGGCACCATTATGTTGCATTAACTTTTAATATCTTCATTGTATATGTCATCACTTCCACATGATTTGTTTCTTTTAAGACTTTTTATACTTTGCATTATTTCTTCACAAGTTATCGATTCATTTATAGACTCATTACACTGTAAATTAGAAAGAATATCTATATCCTCATTTGATAAAACATAGTCAGGTATTTCATTATCTTTTTCCATTTTTAAATCTTAAAAAAAAAATCATATAATTCCTCAGCAGATGCATTTACATTTTTTCTATTTTTTTGCCCAGAGTTTATTATTTTCCAATATTCTTTCGCGTTTGTTGATTTTAGTTTTTTCAATTTTATAATCGGAGTAAAGTTTCGAAAAAGCATGAACTTCGAAATTTTTTAACAACAGTCAAAAATTCAGTATTACCTATGCAATAATATATGACACTAATACATTTACATGTAGTTTTACCAGTACATCTATCATTTTCCATACGACCATTCAAAATAAAAAGATCAGTAAGTTTACAACCAGAAGTCTCTGTCGAGACTGTAGCTCTACTGGTTTATACTTAAAACAAAGGATGAGAAAAGAAGCCATTGCCGTCAGACCACAACTGTAGAAGGAGTAGCTTTTTAAAGGAATTTCAAAGGCATTTCTATTTTAAGTAACAATGGCAACACTGTTCATCAAAATCAAAAACCGATGCACTATTTTATATATCTTAGTGTAGTCTAGTTGTGTGTCAATTTATATTGAAATCAGACCAAAACTGTAGGAGGAGTTGCGTTTTAAAGGAATTTCACAGGAAATTCCTTTTTTGAGTAACCATGGCAACACCGTTCATCGGAATCAAAATCGGATGCACTATTCTATGTATCTTAATGTACTCTACTTGTGTGCCAAGTTATATTGAAAACAGACCAAAACTGTAGGAGGAGAAGCGTTTTAAAGGAATTTCACAGAAAATTCTATTTTTAGTAGCCATGGCAACGCTGTTCATCGAAATAAAAAAACAATGCACTATATTATCTTAATGTAGTCTACTTGTGTGGCAAGTTATATTGAAATCAGATCAAAATTGTAGGAGATATAGCGTTTAAAAGGAATTTCACAGAAAATTCTATTTTTAGAAACCATGGCAACACCGTTCATCGATATCAAAATCTGATGCACTTTTTTACTGTATCCTAGTATAGTCTACTTGTGTGCCAAGTTATATTGAAATCAAATCAAAATTGTAGGAGGAGTAGCGTTTTAAAGGAATTTCACAAGAAATTCTATTTTTAATAACCATGGCAACACCGTTCATCGAAACCAAAATTCGATGCACTATGTTATGTATCTTTGTGTAGTCTACTTGTGTGTCAAGTTATATTAAAATCAGACCAAAACTGTAGGAGGAGTAGCATTTTGAAAAATTGTTTACAGACAGACGGACAGACAGACAGACAGAAGGACGGACGACGGACACCTTACTGTCGCATAAGCTCTTCTGGTCTCTGACCAGTAGAGCTAAAAATCGAGTAAAAGTTCGCCAAAATTATTCTTGACTAGGTCTTTTGATGACCGTTGCGGTGGGATATTAAGTAAGTCTAATACATACAAACCTTCAGGATAAAAAATCAGAATAAGTGTCACAGTTAGTAATGTAATCAGGGTCTATTCCAGTTCTTTCGTTAAAATCACCAATTAAACAAACATATTTACACTTGTTAGAAAAACGAACATATTGTTCTTCCAATTCTTCAAAAACATCACAAGATACATACTTAGAATTTTCAGGTGGTATGTAAACAGCGCCTAAAAGTAATGTTTCATTTAACACTTTTTTATTAAGGTTGAATTTTAACCATAAACAATATTTACTTGCAGAATCTTTTAATTCTAATGAATCGACGAGTGTTTCTCTAACAAAAACAACAATACCACCCGATTTAAAGCGAGATTGCTCGCAACGGTGCTTTTCAAACATTTTAAAACCAGGTATTATTACATGATCTGTGTTATCAGTTTTAGATTCATTTACGCATATGATATCATAATTTGTGAGATATTCGATAAATTCTGTACAGTTTATTTTACTTATTAAACCACAAACATTAAGTGAAACAATTTTAATAGAGGATATTTCATCATAAGATATGCGTCCATCCTCCTCAAATCCCTAGTATCCTGGTTGTCCTGAATGAGTGAAGTCCATTGGGGCGGATCCTCTGGCGGGCTCCTCCGTTGGGGTGGGTCCTCTCACGGGTTCCTCTGGGCCCCTATCCTGGAACTCCTCGTCATAGTCTGGATCGTATAACTGGCCGTTCACGTGAAGTTTGTCCCTGACCATCCTAACCGTGTCAACTTGTTCGCGGAACTGCCTCATCAAAGGGTAGAGGGCCCTTCTGCGATCTTCCACAACAGCTGGAAATTGTTGGTGTATTCCAAAAAGGCTGCCCTTCAAGCGATATGCACAATCTAACACCAGGTCTACATCTCTTTGGTATACGAATCTATCCATTATTGGCCTGGGTCGGCCCCGGGTAAAACGTCCGAAGCGATGTATATTGGAAAATTCGATGTGTTCATCGATCCCAAGTTCAATGAACAGAAATTGTCTAAGTTTCCATTCAGTGTCTTCTCTTAGGTATTCCTTTCCAAGTCCAGTGAAGACTAGATTCATTTTCATCGATCTGCACTGTAGATCAGTAATCTGCCCTGTAGATGTTCACGGTCCTTTCTCAGATTTTTCTAGTCCTCGTGAGCGCGTCATAATTGTATTTTCGTGGCGTTTAATGTCTTTTACCGCTCCTGTTGTACTCGCTTTTTCATTTTTCATTGTTTTCATCTGGTCGTTTATTTCTCGTATAGCTTTGTCTTGATCGTGAAATCTTTTTCTAATTTCAACAGATAACCCTTCCATCTTTTTAGAGTCTGTATCAAATTTTGAAGATACAAACGAAATACTCTTCTCGAGTTCTTCATTTTTCTTTTCAATTGTGTTGACTCGTATTCCTAATGCAACCACCCTGCTCTCAACACTGCTCAACTTTTGCTCTATGCGATCTAGCTTACTTAGTTTGAATGAGATTTCATCCAATTTTTTATTTGTAGTTTCTTGTTTTGATTCACTTGACTTCATGAAGGATTTTAAGGAAGCAAGTATTTTGGAAGCATTTAATTCCGATTCTTCAAAAGCACATTCACCGTTTTCACCGTGTTCATCATTATTTTCTCCATACAGCACTCTCTCGGCCTGCCCTATCGCCTCGCTGAGTGATTCCTGTGGGACCTCACCTTCACTTCCATTACTCCGAGTTTTTCGCTTCTTTGTTTTTTCTCCCATTTTCTCCTCATCACTATCAGATATTTTGGAAATACATTCCACTTAATACGCAAACAAGGATTAAACAAAAATTCCAAAGATGTAAAGCCTCGTCCAGTTAATCACATAGGTTAATCACGTGGGAAATCAAGAAAGAATTAATTTTGACGCATGCGTTTCCAGAAATCCGAAGGGCAAGAGGAGGGGGCTTAGCTTCCCCACTTATTTTGGAAAGATAAACATCATTTAAGCATTGAAAATGCGGCTTATCCATGTTTTATTTGTTGCCGACGCCTATGTATTGGAATGATGAAGATTTGGACTGATAGATCTTATATCCGTCTTTTCCTCTTCTCAGCGGGAGTAAATCAATGCATATGTGTTTTGAAAGATAAATTACAAATATAATCTTTCCATTACTTAAATCTGAATCCAGATTTTTTTTTTTTTTACATATTTTTTCAAAGTGCGTTAAGTGTCTCCATGATAAAATATATTGATGTAACTCTTAACTCACTTTGAAATTTTTTTTCAAAATGCCTTGAGTTGGTCCCAAATTTAACGCACTATGAAAAAAATTTTTAAAGTGCGTTTATTTCGTCCCAATCTTAACGCACTTTGATTTTTTTTCCAAAGTGCGTAATTTTTTCAAAGTGCGTTGCCACATTATCCTTCCATTCCGTCGTAAAAACTTCTTGTCTAAAAAAGCATTTCAAAACTAAGAAAAATGTATTTGAAAAATCAAAAGTATTTTGTATAAAAAATGATATATTGTAGATAATGTAGCAAAGGATAAGACATGCTTAATTGTCGGATATCTGGCAATAAAGATTGATTGCGGAAAATAAGGCTGATTAGAAGAAAAATACAAAATGTCGAAAGTTTAATGACCTTATCTTTTCTGTAGTGATACATGTATCTTTTTCTTATTACTTGTGCATTCAATAGTATTTAAGTTAAAATTAAGTTCCCTAAAATACAGTGTTTTGTGTGATGTTCAAACTGCAAAATAGGGAAATTAACTGCACTTATTATGGTACCTGTATAAGACCGTTACATTCATTGCCACTGATGTATAAATTGTTGTTTGTTCAACAGTATAGTGAATAATTTATGTAATTATTTAATTAAAAAAAGATATATAAAACAAGCCTTTTTCTTAAACTTCTATATACCACTGTCCAAAAGGCATATAAAGGCTATTAGATTTTACCTTTTGTAGAATGTGATAACAAGCATTATGGACCTAATTGCTCCCAAGACTGCAACGTCAATTGTTAAGGACAGATTTGTGAAAATACCACGGGGTTCTGCATATTTGGGTGTGTGAATGGGTTTTAGTCACACAAATGTGAAATCAAGTGCAGCCCATCATGTCCGTCTGGTTGTAATAGATACTCCGGGATGTGTGAGGGCGAATGTCCAGCTGGCAAGTATGGAGACCGATGTGAACGGTTCTGTAACCTTTATTGTAAAAATGGATGCAATAAATACGATGGTTTTTGCAATTCCGGGTGCACTGTCGGGAAATTTGGCGCTACTTGTCTCTATACCTGTGGTGCTGGATGTATTTCTGGTTGTAATCAAGTCAACGGGAGTTGTTCTTGTAAATTCGGATGGCAGGGGCACTATTGTGATGGTAAACCACTATTTAAAATCTTTCTGAAGAGCCATTTATCCAGTTTGTGATATTGTCTTTGGCCACAATAAAACGTTGATTGTTTTGAATTGTTGCATGCCTTGGTGAAACACCTCCCGTTATAAAAGGAATTACTGGCAATTATTAAGAATTCCTTTTCACAATTTTACCTTTTTTATCATCTAACAACCATCTTACAAATGATTATAACTTCATTTCTTCGAAAAAGATCTTTATTTTCAAAACCGATTCAAGAATTAATGAGAGTTACATGTAGTCTGTACTTAAATGTATCTATTATCCTACTACTGAAACTGCTTTAAACGCGAATTTACACTGATTTAGCTGATCTCTATACTCTCTGGCGCTGAAGTAGGTGTATCCTGATATGAGGCATCTTCATTAAATATATTTATATCGAAGTTTAAAGCATTTTATATTCGCGATGTTTGCATTTAGTTATTGCGAATCCAAGAGACGATTCTTTTTTTTTTTTTGCAAGCTAAAGATTTAAAGCAACTAACAACATTAGCAAGTTATATAGCGAAGCAAGAATACAACAAAACAGTTATATTTAAATACAGAAATAACTAGCATATGCGTCTTTTTGCCTACATTAAGAATGCAGTCCAATCTATTATGGACCCCTGTGTGATAGGTTATGTAGTCCAGTTTGTTTAAATGGAACCTGTTTTTCAAACAACGGGTTGTGTAAAGAAGGCTGCAATACGAACCTTTATGATATTCAACGTATTGAAGGTAATAAAGTGATTACATGTATCTGCTATGATTATGTTTAAGGGGCCATGAAAATATTCATTTTACTGATGAAAGGGAGTTCCATAAAAGATTCCCGGAAAGTTCAATATTTTTTTATGAAAAATACATGTACTTTGCTTATGCACCAAAACAGAAGATAAATTTTTAATGTATATACCTTGTTCTTGAGAAGAATGATTTTACATGAATTTTATTAACAAATAGATAATTTGTAATTTAATCAATAGGTTTTTTTTTCAAAGAAAAAATGAAATAAGTATGGTCTCGTTTTAAACCTATTTAAAGTTTTTGACTCATTTTTAATGTTAGAAATGACTAATCTATTTGAAAGAACAAGCAGGGTGGGCTGAAATTATCCCTTACATTACATATGAACGTTTATTTTTCATTTATTTTTAACAAAGCTGCACATTATTAGGGTTCTCCACCTTTCTGTGGAAAGACCTCTTGAAATGCTTATGTTTATTATTATTATTATTATTTTTCTTCCCGGACTTTTGAAACCGCAAGACTTATCGAAAAACTTTGTAGTTCATGATATTGGATATTAAAAGTTATTCCTAAAAACGACCCCCCATGTTTGAACTTTGACCCCTTTCAAAGTTATTGCCCCTTTCGCAAGAAATGCTTGTTATCGCTACTCCTTTAAAACCGTAAACCGTAGAGGTATGAAACCTTCACCAATGTCTTCGACTAATTGAGAGGATCCTGGAATCTATTCATTGCAAAAGTATTCGGTGACTCCTTCAATGAGTTATTGCCCCTGAAAGTTTTAAAGCTTACAAGAAAAATGAAAAACTTTTAAATGACAAGTGGTAAAGATATAGGTCCAAGTGCATGAGATCTTATGACCGTTGACCTTGAAAATAGGTCAAGGTCAAAGGTCAAGGTCATTGGAAAAGTAGAGAAATTGTCAATTTAAGCTTAAAATTCAAATGACCTTTGACCTTGGTATTTGACCTTGACCTCTGACCTTGACCCTTACCCAAAAGGTCATAAAGAAATATTCATTACCTTTATCTAGATGCAGCTTCAAGTGTTAATCTCAAGTTTACCTCTCTCTCTTTTCATGACCTTGACCTTTGACCTTGATAAATGACCTTGACCTTTGACCCCATTGACCCAAAGGTCACAATCAAGCTAATGGTCGTGTATTTATTTACAACCTTCACTCTAACAAATGCTTATAAAATAAACACCCCCCCCCCCCCTTTTAAAAAGAAAATCAACACCATCTTAGAGAAAATGTCTACAAGTCAAACGAAACGAAATATCGGCAAAAGATTCGTAATAAAAGCAAGAATAGACCTGAAAGAAAGTGTCCTGAGAGTTTTAAGGTGAGTCTCTAAAGTATTTTGAAATTATAGTGATTATCGGCAAAATCTGCATTTTTTTCTGTCTGAAATTTAGTTATTGCTGAGCATAAAAATTAATTAAAACTCGTATTGGCTATTTCTGCAATTATTGTTAATATCATTCGATTCTCCTGCTCTATTACGACATTTTAATACCAAGTATTCTTGCTTTCTTAGGTGTATGGAATTTATTTTAATTTTATTTAGATTTAAATCTAAATCTAGGAAATAGCGATTTTTCATATCAAATAAATTTCCACGCGCAATTGCAGATAGTTTATACAATATAGTGTAGAAAAAATGTCCATGAACTCACTGTTTTTCCGGGATTTTTAATTTTCTCTGCAACTGACCACGTGTATTACTTTCGCTTTTACGAATCTATATATGCTAAGTGTCATTGCTTCACTGCAAATGTGTCCCATAATTATTCTAATCATTTTCCTACATACAATATCACATCAAACCGGCAAGATCTCAGTTTTTTAAGAAATTTGACCGGTACTTTCCTACGAAACTACAGGTATCCTCTTCCACCTTCAAAAAATAAATTAGTTTACAAAATACGCTTACTTGTGTACAACTTGATGGCTCAATGGTTAGCGTGTCCGACTTACAAACCAAAGGTTGTAGGTTCAAGCCCAGCTGGAGAAACTTTTTTTTTTCATTTTTTTTTTTTTTTTTTTTTTTTTTTTTTTTTTTAATTAAAAAGAAATGAAAAATTAAAAAAGGTGGAAAGCCGTTAATTTTTAAGAGAACAATTAGTCTCCTAGTTTCTTTTTGTTGTTGTTTTCTAATTCTGTCCACTTTTATATCTTTCTTTTCTATGGAAGAAATGAACCAGGCATCAAAGAGCATTTCAAATTCAGCTTTTTACGTGGTTATTGCAGTTCTGCTGATAAGTGTAATTCTCAACATATATTTCATAGCCCGGTGAGTTTTAAACCTTTCATTGACTTTTTTTTATTAAAATGATAATTCTGTCAAATTCAAAGAGGAAATAGGAGTCATATTTAAACACGTGCTAATATTTTGTCATTTTGTTTTTTGAGAGTTGAATATAAGTTTTATTGAGATACAGTATATAGATATATGTTTTAAAATATTACAGGAATATTAAGCAAACTTTCAATAAAAGCCAAAAGTTGAAAGAAACAAGGCGCCACAAGAATTCTACAAGACATGTAAATACAATCGTCAATGATAAAGTGGAGGAAAACACAGGTTATCAAGAACTTGGAGACCTAAGCCAACCCTCTCATTACGAAGAACTAAAGTCAATGTAGCTCTAATGCCATAGCCTAGATAAACTTTTTTTTTAATATGTGCTATTTTCGGACGTAATTGTTTTGTTCCTGTTGATAATTATAAAGGTCTTCAATAACAAAAGTTTAATATTTCACAGCTGTATATAAATAACTGAAATATAATGAAAGAATGAAATTGTTTTTTTAAGCAGAGAATATACTTTTTTGTAGCTAACATGTAAAAGACTACTATAGTTATGTTGTTCAATTGGCATGGTCTTGTTTTATGATTATTCAGTGTATATACATGTACGTCGGGAAAAAATACACTTTTATAAGATGATATCAGTCTCAAAGGCTTTTTGACATAAATGTGTTTCATTGGCGGATGGATATGTTCATTATGTTCAAATATATATTCTGAATTATGAACGAGTATTTTTCAGGAGATCATGGTAAATGATTGTTCTATTACTTTTAAATTTCTTTGAAAAGGAAATTATGTAATTTATTTTTGAAAGATTACCTATGGCTTAGAAATTTTTCCTGGCTTTAAAAATTTATATTTGCCAATTATTCCAAATATAATTATTATTAGCAAAACTTGTAACAAGGAAATACAACTGTATCATGTACAATAAAAAGTTAGGAAACATTCTTTATGAATTATGTTACATGTATGTAGGTGGAGTTGATCATAGAATTACGTGTCTTTGAACTTCTCCTACATAGATAAGTGTTCATCTCCTGCTTTGCATAACAATAATCATCAATTTTTTAAATGTCTACATAAGTCTTACTCTCGAAAGCCCCTTTTATTTCATTTTGGAAAACGTCTACAATGTTCTTTTAAGTATGATAACTATCGCTAAATTTATTTCTATATCCTCCCTTCTAAAACAATCAAAAAAGATAATCCGTAGAGTTATGAAAACAAGTGTTAAACATAATCAAAATACATGAATTCAACAGAATGAAGTAACTTAATGACATAAAGCTGTAGCATTATGTAACTAAGCAGGAAGAATGTAATTCGTTGAGATCCTAGGTTGTGATCAATATTTTCAGCAGTGAATTAAAAAAAAAACTTTATATAATCACTATATTGGCTTTTTAACACTGTAAATTTTTGCCCGCGTGGCGCAGTGATAGAGCATCTGCTCTAGATTCGCTTATAGTAAGAAGTTAATCCGGGTTTGAATCCCACTGTGAGACGTGGAGACCGGTCCTTCGGATGAGATTGTGTGAGCCAAATTCCTGTGTCGCAGTAGATGCTTGAAGGAAAAAGATCTATTACGGCTCATCCTCGGTCCTAGGTGCCAAGTATAGGTCAGAATTTGTATTTTTTTTCCACTTGCAAGTGGGAGGTATCACCGCTTGAGTGAAAAATTTTCAAGAGGAATGTTAAACAACAATTATACAACGTACACTGTCCTCATGTACTACATATGAAAATTTCAAGACAAGTTAATTCGAAGGGAATGCAAAGACGTACGATTTACAAATTAAATATGAGTATCGGGGGCATTCAACACGATACATTTATTTTATGTGAAACTGATTTTGACAGAGTACATGTATGTTTAAAGCAGATATGTAAAGTTAGCTACTAGTTAATGATTACTGACTACAAGAAATGGGTTAGAATAGTTATTAAAAGTAAGATACTAGTAAGGAACAACGATAAGTGGGTAAAGTAAGGTTCTAGTTGTACTACTTTTGGCCAGTTTTTAGAGGCTAGCTACAGGTGTACTGGCAGTTTTAATCACATGCCGAAGCCAGTTACTAATAGCATTATTCCCGATTTATGTCTGTACCAGTACTATGTGCTAGTTACTATTCGAAAAAGTGATTTGGCCAGTTTTTTTTAGGACAGCTACAGGTTTATTGGCTGTTTTAATCACATGCCGAAGCCAGTTACTAATAGCTTTATTCTCATTTTATGTCTGTACCAGTACAACTTGCTAGGTACTATTCGAATAAGTGATATCACCTAATCCGTTTTTAAGGATTTGAATCTCATACATTGTTAGTTCATAAGAAATTGTGAAAACAAATTGGTTAGAAGTCTCAATAGAATAAAATGGACCAATGCTTGCCTATCATGTTTGATCTTCGTATCTATGCCTTTAAAATGAAATTAAAAAGCAAACATTGATACTTCAATGATCAACTAGCTCAAATTCATTTCTCGCTCATGTCTCTACTTTGCAATGGATAATTTTAATGAACGTAGAGACATTGAAACTAAGCCCGAGGAAACAACAAAATAATAATACGATTTTGTCTGAATCACTTACGAAAAATCTCTAGAACGAAGTAAGTTATTGATAAACAAGTTGATGAAAAAAGAAAATCAGCAGTCTTGTTAAACGTCAATATTTCGTAAGTCCTTTGGTCGGTACAATGTTCTTGTCAGCAAATACACTAAATCATAGAGTCAAATAAAGAGTGTAGTTTTTCATACTTATTGTTAGTTTTTTATACTTATTGTTTGGGCATTCGTTACACATGGAATCGTCGACGGATTTTTCCGTTATTTCCCAATCATGTAAAGGAACACACGTCGGGTTTGATCGGTCGGAAAGGTATGTTCACACCTCTATAGCACCTGTTCCCACCACTGATGCATTAGAGGACCGTGTTTGCTCTGCTCCAGATTAATATTGTCTAATGGACTTTTGGACTTGAATATTGTTCGTTATCTCCATATATTTCAATTCACATTCAAGGATTTAATAGATTGACATGAAATTGCTTTTTTGAAGATAAGATCGATCTTTCCCAATAAAGAAAAAAGTAAAACCCAGAGATCAAATTATGGGATTAGTTAAGATACTATCAAAATTTATTTAAGGTACATTACAATAATCAATTCAAAGCTAATAAGGTTTGAGAAATCTAAGAGTATGCTCCTACATGTATAAGTAGACCATATTTTTTAGTGCACATAGCCATGACTAAAGAATTCCAACATACTCAAGATTTTGTTTTGTCAGATATGAGTATGAAATTTGAAACAGAAAATTCATCATGAACTTTTGAAAGACAGAAAGGTGACCTTGCATGCTCAAATAACTACACAATAATTTAAAAGTGAACTTTTCATTTTTTGTACCCTTTAGGTTCTTCAAGTCCATTTCGAAATATACAGCAAAATATTCCAATTGTATTCTTTGATATAAGTTTTATGAAAAACACTCCTACTACCTCTCTTGACGTTACAAAAGCTCAATATATCATTTAGTTATATACAGTAACGAGTTAAGCTCGGTACTTTAAACATCTCAAAATCAATAAATAAGCCCAAGTGTCAGATTGAAAACTTCAAAGTGCGCATTTCTTAAAAAAAAGGGTTGTTCGAAAAATTCGTGGACAACTGTCATATCTTTTTTATTTTACATCGTATTTTATCCAAATTTGGTAGAAATATCTTAACAGAAATTAAAATGATTTGTATGATTTTTTTTTTAAATAATACGATTTATTCAAAACCTATCCATATTTTAAAAATGCAAAAATCGGATCGGATCGCGGTACAGGTCAACATTTAGTAAGTTACAGACACTACACTAAATAATGTCTGCAGTCATATTCTCTGTAAAATGGAGCAAAATCGAACAACAACCTATAAATTCAAATTAAGAATTGTTAAATCGATTCATATGCCTAGTTATATGGCTTTATATTTTGCTTTGTTGAAAAGAAATCAACTGGAGAAGATAGGAGAATTGAAAACGACAAAAACGACAAACACGATGACTTGTTAGAACGTCACGGAGCAGCAGCTAAAGATGCAGTCTTGTGTTTTACTCAGGAAAAATCATGAATAAACTTTAAAAATGTTGGAGGAATCAGGAAAATATGTTACAAGCTAGTTGTGCATGTGTGTACAAATAGTTCAGACAGTATTTGAATGACAGAGACTCTATATCGGAGGATGAGGACAATCTGAAGAAACGGTTTCACTATAAAAATCTGACCAAAATTTTTAAAAAGTTCGAAGGTCAGGTAAAGACATAGGCGCTTCAGAGTTGCTTTTCATGTGAAAGCAGAGTAATTAAAACCTTAAGGGGTACCGACCCTCTGATATGACAAGATAACTCTCAGAGACAGTCAGAA